AACGAGTCAAGATGCAGGTGATAAGTAAAAACATGAATATGCAACACATATTTGGAAGTTTAGGAAACGTTATCCTGTTGTAGTCTGCTTTCGAGTTACCTTGTTTCAGTTAGGACTTTTAAAGGTTGTAACGTGGCTTAGTTCGAGGTTTTTTAGAAAAAAGATTTTCAAGGCTCAAGTTATTTGGTACCCACCCCCTTCGTGATATTCTCCTATCCTAAGTTCAGCTGACTTATCACAAGCACTCATCTTTCAAAAGGATTCATAATGGTTGAGTGATCACGATAAGTTCTCCAACATGATTGTCACTTAACTTCTGCTGCTTTTGTTTTTTTTAATATTATTGTTCCTCTTCTTTTGATGAAAATTTTATTGACTAATATTTTTTTTGGCCTTTTAGGATCTATTTTCCCTAACTTTTGCCTGGACAAAATCTTTTGAATTTCAAATTTGGGAATCCAGCGGGATGCCCTAACTTTTGCCTAAGCGACTTGTTTTCAAGTTTCGACTTAGCGGGGCTTTTTGTTTCTTTCTTATTCATACTTTCCACTTCGAATAAGTCAATATGACTTTAGGTCTTTGAATTTTTTCTTTCTTTCTCTCTTTTTTTTTGAAGAAAACAAATGCCTTATTCCTTGGTCGGTGAGGGATAACCATTATTTTATCGATTCGATCTCGACCTCAGGACTTTGTGAGGAAATAAACATCGTGGTTTAGACATTTTTTTTCTGATCTCATGATGTGAAAGATAAAATGTGGTGATCCTCCAATGGGACATTCCTTCTGAAATTTGAATGCTTGGTCACATTAACTGAACATCTACCCTGCCCCGGGTTAAAAAACAAGGTTTTTTTTAACGGAAAATAAACTCCTACTTCGAAGGCTCCGAGGGATTAACGAGGGTCTAACTTCATTATATCTCTGGTGTTTGGGGATTGAAACAATGCTTGTACATCATCAAAGGGGTTCTTCTCAAAAGCATACCATTACAGTCATCGTTTTTATCTAAACTCCTTCCTCCAAACTCTTGGCTAAGCAAAAGAATTGGCACAGTTGGCATCAAAAAGCCTGAAAAAACGATTAAAGAGTGATACTGGATGGATTAAGTAAAATGAAACAATTTTTTTTCAAGGCAAAAATATTCAACACATCAAGACTGCCATTCGGCTATAAACAAAATCCTATATGCAGACAATGCCAAAATAATCAATCAAGATAACACATGAAAGTGCGACAAAGAAATGTAATAAAAGCCATTATGGGGAAGAAATATCTCCAACTAGGTTCGTTGATCTCTCCGACCTGCCGTAATCTTGATATTACCCTTACCCATGACCTTTACCAACAACACGGAGCTGTGAAACAAAATGGCAAGGCATCCACCAGTAAAGTGAATGAGAATCCCACCAAACATAGAACCAAACATGCCCCTTGCACAGTACTAGTTGTGTTTGTTATCCGTATTTTAAGCGATCAACCAACCATGACTTAGATTACCATTTCCGTGTAAGGCCCACGAAGTTTATATGCACATGCTTATAAAAAATATTGGACGTTTTTGCAAACAAAATAGTAAAAAGGGAGAAAAGAAATGTATATGTATACTTGAAAGAAGATATTCTATTGATTTTGAGAAATCAGCCTGTGAAAAAGGCATTTACATTTGGAAGCAAGTAATTATAAAATCAAAGCAAACAAGTGTTTACAAATGGCAATATGAATGTGAATATCCATCAAACCCCGACTCTGTTATGACTCTTACGCTTTCCTCTTCCTGCTTTCAGACATATCATTCTTGGATTAGCCTCGAGCTTATGCCAGGTGACGGAATGAAAGAAAGAAACAAAGGGTCTCATGTTGAGCGTAGTCATTTGCTTTAAGTCCCTAACTTTTGCCTGAATCGCCCTTTCGAGTTTTCGATTCACCAGGACACCCTCTTTTTGCCTAAACCGCCCTTTTGGGTTTTCAGTTTAGCGGGTTTTTATTTTATTTTTTATGCAAAGTATTTTTTAACTACGTCAACATTTACAAGGAGAGGGAAGTACTCTCCATCCGTAGTCGTGAGCATCATTTCTCCTCCAGAGAAAACTTTTCTGACCACGAAAGGACCTTCATAAGTCAGAACCCACTTGCCCCTGGGATCTCCCTGGGGGAGAATTATCCTTTTTAGCACAAGGTCACCTGGCTTGTAACATTGGGGTCGTACCCTCTTATCAAAAGCTTTCCTCATCCTTTGTTGATATACCTGACCACGACATACATCCGTCAACCTCTTCTCATCAATAAGTTCCAACTGATCCAGCCGATTCTGTACCCATTCACTTTCATCCTGCTCAACATCCCTCATGATCCTAAGAGAAGGAATTTCGACTTCTATCGGCAATACCGCTTCCATGCCGTAAACATGTGAAAATGGGGTTGCCCCAGTCGAAGTACGCACAGTGGTGCGATAACCATGCAAAGCGAAAGGCAGCATCTCATGCCAATCTTTATAGGTTACCACCATCTTCTGCACGATCTTCTTAATATTCTTATTGGCCGCTTCGACAACACCATTCATCTTTGGTCGGTATGGGGAAGAGTTATGATGCTTGATTTTGAAGGACTCACAAAGCTCCTTCATCATTTTGTTGTTCAAATTAGACCCATTGTCGGTAATGATCTTTTCAGGCACTCCGTAGCGACAAATAATATTGTGTTTAATGAACCGAGTTACCACCTTCTTGGTGACATTGGCATAGGATGCAGCTTCGACCCATTTTGTAAAATAATCGATGGTAACCCGAATGAAACGGTGCCCGTTGGACACAGTTGGTTCAATTTTTCCGATCATATCAATTCCCCACATCGTAAACGGCCAAAGGGAAGTCAATACATTCAAAGATACTTACGGCACATGCACTTTATTAGCATAGACGTGACATTTGTGGCAAACGCGTTGTTGCACCCCAAAATTTTCCCTCATAATTGCACTTTTATGGCTTAGACTTTTTGCATTCATCTGCATCATTCCAATGGGTCATGTGCATAGAACGCATTTTCATAAAATAGATCACCTGAGGCCCAAAAGACCAACAGTTAGGGATCTAGGGTTTACAGCTGGTTTGAGGTGTATGTGTTTAATAAGTTTGATTATCTTGGGTCTTCCTAGTGTATAAGACCGTGGAACTATGGTTTTTGAGCATGCTCGTTTTTGGACTTCTTCTCCACCAAGTTACAGGGCTAATATCTTCTGATGAACAACTGGTTGTAGGTCATTCTGGTCAAGAACTCCAGGGCGTGACCTGGCATATGTAGGCTTAGAATCATGGTGTCTCTTCTTATAAGTATGCTTATCATTTGATTAGGGTTAATGACTATGACATGACATTCATCTACTCTTCAGTTAATCAATTTAGGTTTTGTTGAATCATGGTTCAAAGATGTTTCATCCAGATATTTCTCTGTGCATCTAAACCAAGGAATCAAATTTGTGAGGTGTGGTTAACAGGATTTCTTTCTCTTCAAGATATAATTGCTTTTATCTAATCTTGGCAAGTGTTGGGGTTTTCATTTGCGGGACTAGGGTTTCACATCAAGGGAATTCTTCCGTGATTCAGACTTTATCATCCATCTGTAAGATGTTCCTTATGACACTAATTTCAAGTTGAAATAACCAATCACTAAGGGCTGGGGATTGAATTGTGAAGCTTGGTTCATGACCTAAGATATGAATTCATGGACTTCTCCTTAAACAAGGCAATTATTGTCCTCATCATTGTCATTTGTCATCTGCGATGCAAGTAGATTTGGATTGAAGTAGGCTTCTCGTGGAAGATTTCATGCAAAATAATTCAAGGTTCAAGGCATTCAAGGCAGGGTTTTGTTCAACATGGCACATCTAGGTGTTGGGCTTACAAGCTCTTATGAGGCCTTGAGATGCATAATCATGGGCCAAGTTCAAAGATACGAGGATAAGATATGTTGACTTCGGTTAAAGTAAGCTTTGAACAATTAACTTTTGGACCAAGGTCTCCCTCGAACTTTCATCTAATATGTGTTAGGAATTCAAGTTACATTTAAAGATTGGTATGGAAAAAGGAAAAGAAATATTGGTTCAGAAAAGGAAATTTCATTAGAAATCAGGGTTCCTATTCGTTGATAAATGTTCAAGTAATCGAAGATCAGGGGAAATAAGGTTTCATGTTAATCTTAATCATGTTCTTTCATTATCATTTATGTACATCTTTGATGATTAAAGGTCGTCAATTAGGTAAGGACCTCATCGAGATAAGAGACTTGTAGATTGAAACGTGGAATATAAGGCATGATACAAAAGGGCAAGGTTGTGAATTTTTTAGGATCAAGATCTTATTGACTATTCAAATTATTTGTCATTCAAGTTGATTTGGATTCAAGATTAAAGTTAGGAGTTCATTGAGAATGCAAGTGTGATTTGGATTTGAAGTTTGATTTGAGTTCAAGATGTTCGAAAGTGTTTGATTGGATTAAAGTTGGCAAAGAGCCTTAAGTATTGGTCATATGAGTTTCTTGGAAAGTAAAGTACAGACTGCGAGGTCTTGTTTCAAGTTGGAGTTCATCCGCATTACAAAGATGTTCATCGTTATTCCAGATTCAAGTTCACATGTGTTCAAAGTTTATTAAAACCCTTTCATTCATGATTCAAGAAAATACTATCCAATTCCATTCAATTTCATTCAAGTGTAACAATACCTTATAAGAAAATTTGATGCTTTCATGTCTTCAAGCATTTTTTAAATACTTTGTCATTTAAACTCCGTCCTTAAAATTCATCACCCAACATTTGAAGCTCAAGGTCATTTACAATTCACACTATAAATTTCAAGTTCATCCAAACCAAACATTCATTATAAAATAATTACAATCCCATTACACCAATATTCTACAAAGAAAAAAAAACTGTTACAAAATACACTTGAACAAAATTCTTTAGTCCTAAAGGTGCTAAAGTTCCATGAGTAAACTTCCAATTCCATGCCATGCCAAAGTTCGCCATCGTCATGTATTCTTCAATCGTCATGCCCCAAGCGAACCGACTTGTTGCATTCTTCAAACAATCATTACCATCCATATCAACCAGCGTTAATGCATTTCCAGCTCACCACTATGCTGCTATGTCAGATCAAACTAACCTAAATGATGGAACTTCAGTTTCTAGACAAGATATTCAAGGAAAAAATATGTTTGGTTCAGTTGCTCCTGGTATTAATAACGGGCTAAATATGGAGAACTTGCAGCAAATGAATTCTGAGCAAAGAGATGTACCAATGGAAGATTTTCACGTGAGGCAAGAACTGGCTGGATCTTCCGAGACTTCACAAGACAAGTTGATAGTGCAGGCTCCTCCACATAATGTGGCTACACTAGATCCAACTGAAGAAAAAAATTTGTTTGGTTCTGATGACAACCCTTGGGATGGATTTGGCAGGAATTCTGCTTTAAATATGCTGGATGGTTCATATAGTTTTAGTGGATTTCCTTCTCTTCAGAGTGGGAGTTGGAGTGCACTGATGCAGTCTACTGTAGCTGAAACTTCTAGTAGTGAAGTGTGTATACAAGAGGAATGGAGTGGTCTAAGTTCTCAGAATACTGAACGGTCATTTCCAAAAGAAGGACCTTCACCCATTAATAGCAACAAACAACAATCAGTTTGGCCCGATAATAATTTGCAGTCAGCCCCCAATATAAGCTCAAGGCCTTTAATTCGTCAAGATGATCTTAGCAGGCCTAGTTCTACTGTAACCTTTTCTGGTCGTCCTGGATTTCATCAGCCAGGTGCTGATACTGCACAAAAACAAAAACCAGATACAATAACATGCAGATGCATATGTGGGGAAATGGATCACAATACAAAATTTCTAACTTTCCTAACTGTCGAACAATTTTTTTCTAACAGCCCTCTAAACCTCTAACAGAATTCTTAACAACTTCTACTAACTGTCAAACAAAGTAACAAACTCCTCTAACAGTTTCTAACTCCTAACCGTCATAACCAATTTCTAACAGAATGCCAACTTTTCTAACTAACTCTACAACTCCTAATTGCTAACAAACTCAACAGAAAAAAAGAGACTATAAAAGAAAGGTCCATAACAGATTGCAGGATAGATTCATTTTTTTAATTCTACATAGTTGATAAAAATATAAATTTTTTTTACCAATTCAGATTGATTCTGCAATTCTGCAGAAGAGTCTCCATAAACCTCTTCCTTCTTCCCTTCCCTTCATCTTCATCTTCATCTTTCAATACATTCACTCTCTTCATCTTCATCTTCCTCGTTTCTCAATCCACCATTCTCTCTCCATTTTCATAGAACTGCAACAACTTTCTGCAAACTTCAATCATCATCTTCTAAGCAACAACGCTTCAACAACAATCTTCGTCTTCAATCCGCACCAAGAAATCTTCATAGGAATTCTCCCTCCCTCTGAAATTCTCGCCAATCTCTTGCTTCACTCTAATCATCATCTTCATACATTCATCGTATCATCATTAATCTTCTTCAAACTACTACATTGGTCTTCAACAAACTTCAATATGCTTCTGCAATATCACAACAACAACTAATTCATCGCATCAATGATCCGCAACAACTTCACACAAGGATTAAAAAATAATCACACAGAGTAATAACATGCAGACAGATACACACAAGTCAGAAAGCGAAGTAGAATATTAAGAGGAAAAGAAAATGAAATCACATACCTGATTCGTTTCCTTGAAGAAGCATCAGATGTTCTCTGGAAATTAAGGTTCTTGTATTCATTTTCTTCTCATCGCCTTTTACTGTGTGTGCTAGTTGGTTTGAAATGAATGATTAGAGACGGAGCAAACCGAATGTGAATCGAAGAAGATGAGAGGGAGAAATCGCGCCGCGAGAGAGGAAGGGAAGCGAGGAGGAAATGTCATGTTCTGTAACCTAATCCCTCTTAAAATATTATTTATTTTTTTTATTTTTTTATTTTTATTGTTTATTCTTTTTAATATTTGCTGGAAACTTGATGATAAAAAAAACAAAAAAATATTTCTAATGGGCTTCATTGGGAACGGGCCAGCGCCTAATTTACTAAGCCACACTCCCTGGACTCAAATCATCACCCCCTAAGTTTATTAGTTATTCATTAGATTTAGGATTCCCTTTTTCTTTCTTTCTTTGTTTCGCTTTTTGTTAATTTTTGTCAATATAAAACATGATAAAAAAAACTCAAATATTAGAATAGAATCTTAATTTTTTTACTAATTTGGTTTGTCGTTATCTTAGCCATGTTTTAGTATATTTTGACGTCAATTTTATGTGAAACTTTGAAATAAAAAAAGGGACTTGGGCTTGAGAAATTTCGAAGCTAAGTAAGAAAACGATCTCCATCAAGGGAAATTCAAGGAAGCACTCGATAGAGTGTTCTTATCACTTGCATGGCTTTGAAAAGGCAACGGACCTCCTCCGTTCGGTATCACTGCAACTCTATTTTATTCTTCATTTTCGCACTTTATCGCGTTTCTTTATTGCTTTTTTCTAGAAATCATGAGAAGTAGGGGCTTTATTGCAAACCATATGCATGCTAACATTAGGTGGACGTTTCCCTTTCGTCCATCCCTGACTTAGGACTACTAATTCATGATAACTTTAGGTTTAGAAATAGGCTAGTCTTCCTGTGACTTTTCTTCCCCTTTCGCATATGCATTAAAACGAAATTAGTTTTTACAAACTTCAAAATATTAAAAACTTACTAAAAAGAATCATATCTTCGTTAAGTATGTGAGACGATAAGCGGGTCTCTTCTCGACCTTATTGTTCTCTTATTCTAAGCCTTGGCATGATTCAAGTCCCAAATAATCATTTCATGAATAAGTAGAGAAATTGCTAAAATCTCTCTCTTGAGATCAACTAGCTGTTACCTACAAGCAAAAACACCGACAAATACAAAACTCTTTTTGCCTTCGGGCCTTTCTTCCAAATCTTTCAAAAGAACATGTTGATTCACTTCTGTTCTGACGCGTAACTATCCAAAGGTCGAGTTGTGGCAGAAGGCGAGATTAATATTTTTCATTAAAGAAAATACAAACAAACAAAAACATATAAGCCGAACTACGGCTGCTCTAATTCCTTAAAAGGGATACGTAGACATTAGGGTAGGACCCAAGCGAGCACAAATTTTATTTTCCCTACATTCTTTCCCCCCTTATTTTGCATGCATTCTCCCCTTAACAGTAATAAACAGTAAACATATATTAAACACACCCATAAAATAGATAACAAGAGTGGATACCATAGAGTACTACGGGCGTGTGGGGTGCTAATACCTTCCCCTCGCGTAACAGACTCCCTTACCCTTATCTCTTGGTCGTTCGACCTTGATTTCACCCTTCTTAGGTTTTCTCGATGTTTACCTTTCCTTTCCTGTGGAATAAAAGACGTTCAATGGCGACTTCATTTTTTTGATGATTTTCAGCCGGTTGTTTCAGCTGGCGACTTCACTAGGGAATAGGTCGACCAAATGCTGGTCCATCCCAGAGTCGCTCCTAGCTCTTTCTTTCTTTTCTTTGGGTGTTTATTTTTACACTTTCAATTTACTCATTTTACATGTTTATCTGAGCATAAGTTTGCATTGCATTTTATTGCTTTCCCTATTTGTTATCTATTATGCTGGACTCTGTTTTCCATGTTGGGTGGGGATGTAACTATTGAGGTAAAAGGCCCAGTACCCAGGCCAGAGTGCACTAGGACACTACGAATAGAGTGGGGGCATGACGACTATAGGACGTGGTCTGATTAGTGCAGTCATGTCATATACCATGCTCGGATGAGGTTCAAATGAATTACTATCGGCACCCACGTCTGTGGGTAAGCCCATAACACTTTCAGGCGGACCCGTGATTTTCGAGTTACCATTGTCTTACCCTGGCCTAGTCTTCACCCGTGAGTGGGGAGGGAATTTTATCACAGGTACAATTGGTGACTATGTCCAAATGGTTACTCATGCTCAGATGGAGAAGGTGATCATACAACGACTATTGGTTCTAATGATCATGTTCTGGACTTCTGTCAATGACTTATGCATATGGTATTCTGTTGCTGACTATTTCGTTCTCAGATTTATTTTCTGAACTCCTGACTTGTATACTTGGAGGTTCATTCAGGCCTTTGATCTTGGCATTCCCAGCATATTCAAAAAATGCTCAACAGTATCCAGTTCCAAAAGCCTTGATCCCGTACAATCAGTGATCTACATAATACTTGGTTCCTATATGTGCGGAAACTACGCCAAACCTTTGACCTGATGATACTTGCATAGTTCAGAAGCAGTGCAACAATCATATTCGGGGATGATGGAACCTTGATCCCATTTGATCTCATTCCATTGGATACATAACATGGTTAACCACATGCTTAACATACATGTCCTGTGATTTCCAAGGAATCATATTTGTAAGCCTTGTGCCAAACTTTTCCACCCTTACTTACGTAAAATCAAAATCAAAGCACGTAAATTCCTTGGAAATGACGGAACATGATATGACATCCGTTCATGCATTCCATGTATATTCATTCATCCATAACATGTACTCAAAGATTGGGGATTCTTATTCAGACATGGTTCTCCTTGGAGTTTTAGCTTTGATTTCTTACTGCACTTGTTCAGGGATCGGTTATGGAATAGCTCTGAGTGGTATAACTACAAGCTTTGGCCCGTGGTCAGAAATTTCTTCGAACAGGAAGATAATTGATTAAAGACTCAAGATGAACAGGTCATGGAAGCTCTAATGATGATGAATAAACTTATGGCTGCAGCAAGTTCTCTCTTCACCTCATCTTCTTTTGGGAATTGCTTCAAACTATTGAGTGCTACGCAATCCTGAGTTCTTGAAACATCTCATCAGCAGATGCTTCCCATTTACTGTAGGATCTTATATCAGTGCTTCGTTTTTGTTAACCAACGTCAGATGTGGTTACCACGCCGGGGCATCATACCTTTTAATCAGGGACATCCTCCATAACTTTGTGTTCCCTAATTTGTTCAACAAGAGCCAATCTTTATTCCCCAAGTGAATTCATGGGGAAAGCTTTTAAGCCAAGACACAAGAACCCTGATGAGCATGCTAATGCGAGCCCAATGAATTACATCCTATTATTCCCAGCTCTTCCTAGCTCTGATCTTTGAGGTATTCCTCCCACAAACGTCTCTTCTGATTACAATATGTATGCTAGATGCATCCCCTATTCTGGGGTACCCGGTTTTGATATTGAAGACTACAAAGGGGTTGAAATATAAAGCCCAACACCTATTTGGCGTCTCTTCCAAAGGTCCAATTCTTATTTGTCCAATTACCACACTCTCTTTCACCAGGTGGATGTCTCTTTTGTTTTGATAGAAGACAGACTGTATTAGTTTTTATGGCGTAGTATGCCTGATGATGCAGTTTTCACTTGAAAAAGCATTCGTTTGTTCTCCTGAAAGAATCCTATACGCATATTATTCTGGGGCAATTGATCATTTGATTGAAGAGAGTACATCATCCAGAGACGAGGTCTAAAACAAGATCAATTCGGAGACTGTGGTGTCCAAATCTGGAATTCTCTCACTCACCTCATGCATCTTCATGAACCTTCATGTATCCATAGCAGGTACTCAGAAGATTCAAGTTATGAAAAGAATTAGATGGGGATGTTTATTAGGGATATGCAAACAATGGCCTGTAGTCAGAAATCCTTAAGGGAGAAAGGATAACTAGTTGAAGACTCGTTTGAGTCGGGTATGGAATTTATGAAGGCAGTGTCGGCAAAGAAAAGTGATATTGTATACGTTGTCGCAATAGGAGCTGTCATTCATCCCCAGCCTATGGGACATTTTTCAAATCATGAGATACTTTGTGGGTCTGGTCTCACCCAGAGCTTCGTGTTCTCGGATTTTA